TTATATATTTAAATAATTTATAAAATTTAATTATATTATATATAATATACATATATATTAAAATAATAATAATAATAATATTATTATTATTATTTTATTTTTTATTTTTAAATATAGAGGAACATTATCTAACGGTGTTGGATGAGCGTGTCTGTAGAACCGTTAGATGTAGGTCATCGAAACAAAAGCCTGCAATCCCCTTTTATAGCTCCCTGCGGCGCATCTTCTGCTTCCTCCGAAAACCCTAACAACACAGACGCAGAGCTTCGAAGATGGTGCAGCGTCTCACCTATCGCAAGCGGCATAGCTATGCCACGAAGTCCAACCAGCACAGAGTCGTCAAGACCCCTGGTAATCAATTCCTCTCCCTAATCATTACCTTCTCATCCAACCAAGATTTTCGCGCTCTCAATTCATTCTAACGTGTTCTTGTTTTCGTGTTTTCGTTGTTGAAATAATGCAGGTGGTAAGCTCGTTTATCAGACCACCAAGAAGAGGGCTAGCGGACCCAAGTGCCCCGTCACTGGAAAGAGGATTCAGGGTGTGCGCTTTTCATTACTCTCTCATTCTTTATTTTCTTAGCCTTGTGTATTTTTCACTGTTCTGTCATTGATTGCCTTTTTTCTTGTGTTGTTTTGCTTTGGACTAGCTATGAACATTATTAAGGATGGTATTAGATTTAACCCAGCTAGTGTGTATGATGGGTACTGCGTGAGACTAAAGTAAACAGATAGATTAAGGAGTAGTAGTGCGTATAGAAGGTGGGAACTTCTACAAGTTCATAGCTTGGGTTTTGATTATTATTTTATAAATTGACATTTGTTAAGAGCCATTTTTAGCTTCTTTTTAGATGGGATTATGTTCGTCCCTGCCTTAATTTTTTTTTAGTTCTAGAGGTTTGGTTATCAAAGTTAAGTTTGATAAGTTTTACCTTCCAAGCTTGTGAACAGGGCTGTTAAGAAAGTTTTAGGGTGTGTTTGAAACACTGTTTGGTCTCATTCAACGCCAATCCACTGTGATGGAAAGATTGGTGATGAATGTGCATTGGAAAATGGGAATGAGCTAAGATGAACAATCTCTTAGTTTCTGGCCTGTGCTTTTATTTTTATTTTTTTCCTTTCCTAATCTGGATTTCATAATTTTAATATTGATTGATGATATGTGGAATGACGTGATAAGTCTCACCTTAACTCATAAGCTTAGAATGAGTTTATGATGTAGATGCGTTTTTGTGATGTATGATTTTTCTTATGATTGTTCTATTTGGGTATATTGAAGCTTTGTTGGATTACCTGATTTCTGTTTTTTAGCTTCACATTAGGCTATTATGTTTCCTGTGTTTAGTTATAAATGTTTCCATTTCTAAGGTTGTTAGTGTAATTAATGTTTGATAATATCAGATTCCACACTTGAGGCCTGCAGAATATAAGAGGTCAAGGTTACCTAGAAACCGGAGGACTGTGAATCGTGCATACGGTGGAGTTTTGTCTGGAAGTGCTGTCAGAGAAAGGTTTGTCTTACTCAACTTTAACAGCTACATATATTTAATAACTCCTGAATTTAATTTTTTGGTACGAGTTAGTGGATAACTTGCTTATATTTAATAATTCCTGAATTTAATTGTTTTGGTGCGAGTTAGTGGATAACTTGCTTATATTTGTCTTTTGTTCGATAGGATTATTAGAGCTTTCTTAGTTGAAGAGCAAAAGATTGTGAAGAAGGTCTTGAAGATCCAGAAAGCTAAGGAAAAGCAGACATTGAAGGCTTGAATATGGACAACGAAATGAGACACGTCTTTTTGGAAGACTGTTAGGTTTGAGTGGTTACGGTAAATCACAATTTTTATTAGAGTTCTCATGGTAATTGTGCTTTTATTATTTGGCTTGTTTGAACTCATTCTAGAGCAGTTAACTTTGTCGACAATGCCATTGTGTTACAGTTTTGTTTGTCTCATTTTTTCTTTTGACGATTTATTGATATCATCTTGTTTTTATATATCCCAATAGGACTTTGTAATTTTCCTCGAATTGGAATATCTCAATTCTGGCAGCTTTAGTGGTGGTATTCTGCTATTAAAATTATTATTTTTGGTTATCTGCATTATTTTCTTAGTTTCCCAGGAATAGAAATGTGAGTTCACCTATCAGCTGCGTTATCAAGACCTACAGCAAATCAGTATATATATTTTGGAAATGATGGGTGGTGCATTTGTTTAGAAATTAATTGGTTTTTAAAGTTTTTTTGATTAGTTAGAACTAAAGTATTTCGTTAAAGTTAGTTGAATCAAGCACATAATACAGATAATTGGATTGTGCCAAGTTTGAACATGCGCCAAGAATAATGTCTATAGCAGAATGTGTGATGGGGAAGGGTCAATTTATAAGAAGTCTATGTTTCATCAACTTCTATGTGTAACCGAATGAAAGAAAGTATTGTCGCACGGTGTTGCACAAATATTAATATTATTTGGCACTTTATTTACATTTACTTAGTGATAACGGTTACAATTTTAACATTCAATGAGGGAAAAATTCGATGAAGCGGTTAGAATTGTAGATTTAATAAAGTTAGAGGACTAAAATAATTAAATTAAAAATGGAGCAATTAAAATTGTGAATTGCATAAAATACGATGATCAAGACAGTAATATAGTGTAATTAAAGTAACATACATATCAACAGCTGGTCAGTATTTTCATCTATGTGAAGGAGTATACCAATAATTACAACGGTGTAGTTTTTAATCAAAATAGTTGACCTAATAACCTAAAATCTTGGTTTTATACGTTGAGACTGGTTCTATACGTTGTCGATGAACTTGAGAAAGGCTTTTGACTGAGTAGCGGACAAAACATTGGGCGAATTTGTCTTTCTGTTCACTAACAGTCTCCCCCTTTGTAACCATGAAACATGGATTAGATGGCTACTTCATTTTTTATTGTTTTTAATTCAATAAGAAAAATGTTTAGACAGAGGAAGGCCGCCCCATCATTAAGGTTATGATATTTTTTTTATAAAAGACTTAAGGTTATGATACAGTGATCTCAATTGAATTTTCTCCTAAGATAGTGGTTTTTTTTTTTTTTTTTGAGTTTCAACACGTGCAACGCCCCCACTTTTGCTGCTTGTAGCTATAGACAAGTTGAGCAGATAAAATGTGCAGAGCTATGCTGAGAGAAATGGCAAATCAGCTCAATAAATATATGAGCCAGTTTCAAAGCTGAATTTGCAAGGGCGATAATACACACAAAGCCACAAATTTAAATAAACTTGCCCTCTTTAAAACCCACACATATGCTCGATACAAGAAACCACAAATTTAAATACACTTGGCAAATCATGTTTGATGCTTGATGAAGCATTGTAACATTGCATTGATCAAGGAGTAAAATTGTGACATAGTGCAAGTATGGAAAAAGTGTATCAAGAAATTCATCTGTCAGATAGTGATTACCAAAATTAGCATCTCTCACATTTGAAGACATTCTTTCTTGCACTTAACGTTTGTTCTTTTCAATCATGCAAAACCCTCACCATTTAAACCATGGTGTGCAATTGCAATGGTTGCCATGATATTACAGTTCAAAAGGTTTCCGTGCTTGCAGACTCCATCTTATTATAAATTGTTAAGACACTTGTTAGCAGTATTAATTGTCAAACGGCAAACAGCATTATACAATGGATCACTACGTGTTTAATTTGCTTTATAGGCTTACACTTCCACACTTCCAGATTGTGATGAAGTTGTTATTGCAGGATACCACACGAAACAATTGAAAAATAAAATAACGGAGGATTTGATAGAATTGTAATCAGTCAGCAAAGTCCGGGTAACTAAATAATGCAAATAAATACAGAGTAAACTCTTTTTTTTTTTTTTTAAATTTTTTTTTTTTTTTTTTTTTTTTTTTAATTTTAATTTTAATTTTAATTTTTTTAATTACAATTTTACAAATGATGGATTTAACACAAGGAATGAATGGAAGAACAGAAGCAGCTTAAAATGTGATCTGAGAGAGGGAAGAGTCTCAGAGAGAGAATCAGAATGGAGAACACATTGATACTTCCTTCACCTCATCTAGCTCCCTATATTCCAAGCGTAAGCTTTGAATGCTTAGTTAGCCTTTACCTTGCACCAGTGACGGAGTTCTAGGAAATTTGTTAAAGTGAGGATAATAAAATATTTTATAATATTTTTTTTATTAAAATATAATAATTTTTTTAAAAAGGTTATATATATATATATATATATATATATATTCTTAATAAATTAATTTTTTTTTATAAAAGAGTGACAATGTCTCTTTTTTTTGTCTAATATTATATTGAAATGTAACTTTGTAATTTTTAGTGACATACTTAATATCAGAGGAACAAAACGGTATAAATTTTTTAAGATAAATTAATATAATTATTATTTGTTTTCTTTTGTATCCCATCTAAATTTTTATGTTTTTTTAAAACAAAAAAAATTTATGAGAATAATGCTTATTTTTTAAAATAGTAAATTTATTTTTATTAAATATGTTTAAATAGAAAAATAAAAATTTTATGTGGCAATTATTCTCATTCCTCTTAGTTTGGATCTTCTCCTACCAACATACAATGTACATATATAAGATCAAAAGGATTAAAAACTAAAATAAAATTGAAAAATAACTTGTATTTGTAAACTAAATTATGACATCTTTAATGAATAAAGAAGTAATAAATCTTTATGTCAAAAAATAAAATATATTATAATAATAAAAAAATAAGATAATTTTGTTATAAAGTGAAAGAAATTACACAATAAAATAAAATGTAAAAGAAATATTAATATATTTTTAACATATTAGATATAAAAAATAATCATTATAAGAAATGTTACATATAGTCACACACAAAAAGTGTCACTGTAATTTATATTTACATTTTTTAATATTATATTAATATATTGTGTCTATATAATATATGTAAAAGTAATTTTTAGTGACAAATATCATATTTCGTGTTGCGAACGCAACACCGTTACGTTGCGAAAAAATGTGTGATTTCCAGTCTCACCGTAATTGCAGTCTGATGCCGTTGCGGACAAGGCCGCAACAGCAATATTGCGGCCGCAATACGTGTTGCGATCCGCAATTTGAAACCATGCTTGAGGCAATAGGGAGGTGAGTCTTCACCTCATCAATTGGTAAGAAGCCATGCAACCAATTTTAATTACAAAAATGGTTAGAACTTGGGAGTTTGGAAAGAACATACAAATATAAAATAGTACTTGACAAAACTTTTACATATAGTTACCTCCTCGTAATGTCACCCATCGAAGATCATGGGTGTATTTTCGTTTTCTTATTACGACTGAAAAGTGAGGATTTGTAAATTGAATATCTGCCATGATTGTTTTTTGTTCCAGTACATGTACACCCATCCATTCTATACCTTTTGCTCCTTCATAATCCACAAACAAAATCTCAGCACTGTTCCATTCATTTTTAACATGTAATCCTTCATATTCAATATTTCCTATTTCGAGCCGATCATACACGAAAGTATGATTTGTCTCAAACTCAATTGGATAATCTTTAAAAATATAATTTACTGTGGCTACCATGGCTAATCCAACATCCTCTTCCTTTGCCTATCAATGGACTTATGATGTTTTCCTCAGTTTTCGGGGTGAGGACACCCGCACCGGTTTTATTGGAAACCTTTTTAATGCCTTGCGTCAAAAGGGAATCCACACCTTCATGGATGATCAAGAGCTGAGGAAGGGAGAAGAAATAACACCATCTCTGTCGAATGCAATTCAAGAATCTAGGATAGCCATCGTGATTTTTTCAGAAAACTATGCATCATCAACTTTTTGTTTACAAGAACTTGTCCAGATCATGGAGTGCTTGAATCACAAGGGCAAGCTGGTTTGGCCTGTTTTTTATAAAGTGGATCCATCTGATGTGCGTCATCAGAAAGGAAGTTATGCAGAAGCTCTAGCCAAGCATGAAACAAGAATCAGTGACAAGGACAAACTGAAAGCTTGGAGGTCAGTTTTCGAAGCAGCAGCTAATCTATCCGGTTGGCATTTCAAAGAGGGGTACGCAAATAACCATTCTTTTCCTATTTTTTTTTTTTTTTTGTAGGATATTAGACTGACATCATTCAAAATTTTGCACTCAAGCAGGTACGAATATGAATTCATTGAAAAGATCATTCAAGAGGTCTCTAAAAGGATCAATCGTAGCCCTTTATATATTGCTAATTACCCAGTGGGAATAGAGTCTCGCGTGCAGAAGGTAAAGTCACTTCTAGATGTTAAATCAAATAATGCAGTCCACATGGTAGGGATTTATGGCATAGGTGGAATTGGAAAAACGACACTTGCATGTGCAGTTTACAATTTCATTGCTGATCAATTTGAAGACCTTTGTTTTCTCGCCAACATTAGTAAAAAATCAGTGGAGCATGATCTGGTACATCTTCAGGAGACACTTCTGTGTGATTTAGTTGGAGAGAAACACATTAATTTGGGGAACGTTCGAAAAGGAATTCCAATAATTAAAAGTAGGCTCTGTAAAAAGAAAATTCTTTTGATTTTGGATGATGTTGACAAATTGATGCAATTAGAAGTACTTGCAGGTGGACTTGATTGGTTTGGTTCTGGTAGCAGAATTATTATCACAACCAGAAATAGACATCTACTACATTCTCACGGTGTTAAAAGAACCTATGAAGTAGAAGGATTAAATCATGAAGAAGCCCTTGAATTGTTTAGCTGGAATGCTTTCAGAAGCAAACAGGTCAATCCTGGTTATTTGTACATTTCAAAGAGAGTAATACAACATTCTAATGGCCTACCGTTATCTCTGGAAATAATAGGCTCAGATTTATATGGTAAAACAGAGTTGGAATGGAAGTCAGCATTAGATACTTATGAAAGAATTCCTCATGAAGATATTCAGAAAATTCTAAAAGTAAGCTATGATGGCTTAAAGGAATTTGAAAAAGAAATATTTTTAGACATTGCTTGCTTCTTTAAAGGATACACAGTAAGTTATGTCATAAACATGCTATATAGTGGTCGTGGCTATGCCCCAGATTATGCTATCCAAGTGTTGATTGATAAATGTCTAATAAAGATTGATCAATGTTATGTGAAAATGCATGATTTGATTAAAGATATGGGTAGAGAAATTGTACGGCTTGAATCACCCTCAAAACCAGGTGAACGCAGTAGATTATGGCTCTCTAAAGAAATTCTTCGTGTTTTCAAAGAGAACAAGGTATGTGCATTGTCAACTGCTTATTTGTGTCTTTGGTCCTTCCTTTTTTCATTTTTGACAAATTCATAATGGAAGACCTGGTTGTTAAACCTCTACAAATAGATTTTATGTTTACAGTTAGTTCTTAGATATAGGTCTTTATAATTTGAGAACTTTATCATGATTTGACTATTTTGGCTTAAAGGGGTCCGATAAAACTGAAATCATCATGTTACACTTGGTCAAAGATAAAGAAGTGCAATGGAATGTATCTGCATTAGAGAAGATGGAAAATCTTAAAATATTGGTGGTAGAAAATGCTCGCTTTTCTAGGGGACCAAGTGCTCTCCCAAAAAGTTTAAGAGTGCTAAAATGGTGTGCATATCCTGAATCATCACTGCCTGCTGATTTTGATCCAAAGAAACTTGTCATATTGGACTTGCCTACGAGTTCCTTTACATTCAACAATCAACTAAACATGGTACTTTTAGTAGCTAACCATTTTGGTTCTTGATGTTTATTTGATCTTGAATATTAATGAGTTATAAGTCCATTTGAAAATTCATAAATTAATTACTATGTTATTTTTTTTTTTTCGCAGAAATTTAAGTCTTTGATGGAACTGAATTTAAGCGGTTGCAAATTACTAAAAGAAATACCTGACATGTCTGGAACACCAAATTTGAAGAAATTGTATCTTGATCATTGCAGAAATTTAGTTCAAGTACATGATTCTGTTGGATTTCTTGATAAACTTGAATTTTTGACAATGGATAATTGCACCAGTCTTAAGATTCTTCCCCGTGACATGAACTTAACTTCTCTTAAATTAATGTACCTTAGTAATTGCACAAGTCTTGCGAGTCTTCCAGAAATTTTAGGGAAGATGAAAAACATGTGGGAACTCAATTGGAGTGGTAGTGGCATAAGTTGCTTGCCTTTTTCAATTGGAAATCTAGTAGTATTTTTATGTGCAAAGTGAGATATTTATCCTTTAGTTACAGCAATATCACAATCCTTCCATCATCCATTAGTGCATGTCTCTCCCTGAGAACACTTCATTTGAATCAATGCAAGGAGCTACGAGAAATCAGAGGCCTTCCACCAAACATAAAAAATCTTGAAGCTATCAATTGCGCATCTTTAACTTGTGAGTCTAAGGAAGTGTTACTGAATCGGGTATGTTATATATATGTTTTGAATATTTTCTAATACTTTACGTGGATGCTTAACTGACATTTTATAATTAAATGTGACCGACAGATACTACACGAGAACGGGGGCAAACATTTCATATTTCCAGGATCAAGTATACCGAGTTGGTTTAATTGCACTAGCAAGGGTCCATTATATATATATTATATAAAAATAATAAAATATATAAAAATAAGAAAGAGTAAAATTTTATTGGGGCAACTGCCCCCACTCCCAACAATATGATCCGTCCCTGCCTTGCACCTATGCACAAATCCCAGTTTCTTGAATCACAAGTGCCACCTGAGTTAACCAAGTATACCCTAGTAGTTAATTAGTTTGACTTTGACCTAGCAATCCTCTTCATTTCTCTGATCACTTGGCCTCTCTTAATAGTTTAGGTTGTGCTATTGCTCGAGGCAACAGAGAGTTGAGTCTTGATGTCAACAATGCAACCTGTTTTACATATTTCCAATCACAAATCTCAACCATCCAAATTGTTTATCATTTTAACGGTCTCTTTTGTTTGACCGTTGATGTCTCTCAAAATTTTGGGACCATTGAAAATTATTTTAATCAACACTTTACATTTTTTTTAATACGTTTAAAAATCAGGTTAAAAAGTTTCCATTAAAACTTGAGAAATATCTTTGTTTGATAGCTTAAAAATATGTTAAAATAAAAAATGTTTAACTACGTGAATTATTTGATGAAAGTTTACATAAAGAGGAAAATTTGTTTATTGTACATTCTAGAAAAATGATTAAAATTAAGTTTAATTCTTAATAACATTTTTTATTATGTTTTTTTTTCTCTAACTTTTCTTTGTTACTTTTATTTTTAAGACTAATTTGAAAAAGATTATCAAACTTCACACAAATATATATAATTGAGTTTGAATTAAATAATTTTAATGAAAGAGTGAATGAATTTTATATTATAGGAATTATGTAATTCTTATCTTTTAAATTGAATTATTCGCAAATTAGTCTAAAAGAAAGATTTACATAATTGCAAATTGAGAATATTGTTGTTAGAATACTAAATTTTAAGACATTTTTTCACATTATATGTTCATCATGTATTTTTTATTTGTAGTTTCGTTTATTATTTTTATAATTTTATTTACCATTCAATGCAACTTATAATTGAGGATTTGAAATAACTCTAAAGATAAGACTTGGCTTGGCGTAAGTAAAGGAAACTAACCAAGGAAGGCCTCTGATTTCTCGTAGCTCCTTGCATTGATTCAAATGAAGTGTTCTCAGGGAGAGACATGCACTAATGGATGATGGAAGGATTGTGATATTGCTGTAACTAAAGGATAAATATCTCACTTTGCACATAAAAATACTACTAGATTTCCAATTGAAAAAGGCAAGCAACTTATGCCACTACCACTCCAATTGAGTTCCCACATGTTTTTCATCTTCCCTAAAATTTCTGGAAGACTCGCAAGACTTGTGCAATTACTAAGGTACATTAATTTAAGAGAAGTTAAGTTCATGTCACGGGGAAGAATCTTAAGACTGGTGCAATTATCCATTGTCAAAAATTCAAGTTTATCAAGAAATCCAACAGAATCATGTACTTGAACTAAATTTCTGCAATGATCAAGATACAATTTCTTCAAATTTGGTGTTCCAGACATGTCAGGTATTTCTTTTAGTAATTTGCAACCGCTTAAATTCAGTTCCATCAAAGACTTAAATTTCTGCGAAAAAAAAAAAATAACATAGTAATTAATTTATGAATTTTCAAATGGACTTATAACTCATTAATATTCAAGATCAAATAAACATCAAGAACCAAAATGGTTAGCTACTAAAAGTACCATGTTTAGTTGATTACTTGAACTAAATTTCTGCAATGATCAAGATACAATTTCTTCAAATTTGGTGTTCCAGACATGTCAGGTATTTCTTTTAGTAATTTGCAACCGCTTAAATTCAGTTCCATCAAAGACTTAAATTTCTGCGAAAAAAAAAAGGAATTCCAATAATTAAAAGTAGGCTCTGTAAAAAGAAAATTCTTTTGATTTTGGATGATGTTGACAAATTGATGCAATTAGAAGTACTTGCAGGTGGACTTGATTGGTTTGGTTCTGGTAGCAGAATTATTATCACAACCAGAAATAGACATCTACTACATTCTCACGGTGTTAAAAGAACCTATGAAGTAGAAGGATTAAATCATGAAGAAGCCCTTGAATTGTTTAGCTGGAATGCTTTCAGAAGCAAACAGGTCAATCATTGTTATTTGTACATTTCAAAGAGAGTAATACAACATTCTAATGGCCTACCGTTATCTCTGGAAATAATAGGCTCAGATTTATATGGTAAAACAGAGTTGGAATGGAAGTCAGCATTAGATACTTATGAAAGAATTCCTCATGAAGATATTCAGAAAATTCTAAAAGTAAGCTATGATGGCTTAAAGGAATTTGAAAAAGAAATATTTTTAGACATTGCTTGCTTCTTTAAAGGATACACAGTAAGTTATGTCATAAACATGCTATATAGTGGTCGTGGCTATGCCCCAGATTATGCTATCCAAGTGTTGATTGATAAATGTCTAATAAAGATTGATCAATGTTATGTGAAAATGCATGATTTGATTAAAGATATGGGTAGAGAAATTGTACGGCTTGAATCACCCTCAAAACCAGGTGAACGCAGTAGATTATGGCTCTCTAAAGAAATTCTTCGTGTTTTCAAAGAGAACAAGGTATGTGCATTGTCAACTGCTTATTTGTGTCTTTGGTCCTTCCTTTTTTCATTTTTGACAAATTCATAATGGAAGACCTGGTTGTTAAACCTCTACAAATAGATTTTATGTTTACAGTTAGTTCTTAGATATAGGTCTTTATAATTTGAGAACTTTATCATGATTTGACTATTTTGGCTTAAAGGGGTCCGATAAAACTGAAATCATCATGTTACACTTGGTCAAAGATAAAGAAGTGCAATGGAATGTATCTGCATTAGAGAAGATGGAAAATCTTAAAATATTGGTGGTAGAAAATGCTCGCTTTTCTAGGGGACCAAGTGCTCTCCCAAAAAGTTTAAGAGTGCTAAAATGGTGTGCATATCCTGAATCATCACTGCCTGCTGATTTTGATCCAAAGAAACTTGTCATATTGGACTTGCCTACGAGTTCCTTTACATTCAACAATCAACTAAACATGGTACTTTTAGTAGCTAACCATTTTGGTTCTTGATGTTTATTTGATCTTGAATATTAATGAGTTATAAGTCCATTTGAAAATTCATAAATTAATTACTATGTTATTTTTTTTTTTTCGCAGAAATTTAAGTCTTTGATGGAACTGAATTTAAGCGGTTGCAAATTACTAAAAGAAATACCTGACATGTCTGGAACACCAAATTTGAAGAAATTGTATCTTGATCATTGCAGAAATTTAGTTCAAGTACATGATTCTGTTGGATTTCTTGATAAACTTGAATTTTTGACAATGGATAATTGCACCAGTCTTAAGATTCTTCCCCGTAAAATCCTACGAAATCCTAAACCAATACACCCCCCTAAGCATGGGTAGAAATACACTGAAATACAGAGTAGAGTCTTGTGTAATTTTTATTACAAATATGGATTTAACAAAAGGAATGTGGGTAACATATATAGAAGTATCTTAAAATGTGATCTAAGACAGGGAAGAGTCCCAAGTAGAGAATCAGAATGAACTACATTGATACTTCCCAAGTTTAAGCCTTGCACTGTTGCACAATCTACAGTTACTTGAATCACAATTGCCACCTCAGTTAACTAACTCAGCAACCGTAGTCGGTTTGACCTAGCAATCCTCTTCTTTTCTCTGCTTCATAAGGCAAATCACTTGCCCTCTTAATGCCTTAATAAGTTGTGGTATTGCTTGAGGCCATGGTTTTAAATTGCGGTTGCCGTCGCGGATGCGGTCGCAGTTGCAGTTACTGCGATTGCGGGTATTGCGATGCGGATTGCTGCTGTTGCGGTGTGAAATTATTAATTATTTTCACTAAATATAAAAAATTTATAATTATCAATATATATTTTATTTTTAAGGATTTATACATTTTAATTCCTTTTTTTAAATATTCTATTATTTTAATGAATAATTTAATTTATTTTAAAATTATAATATTAATTTGTCGTATTACGGATGTATTGCGGTGCATTTCAGATGTGTTGCGAACGCAACACCGTTACGTTGCGAAAAAATGTGTGATTTCCAGTCTCACCGTAATTGCAGTCTGATGCCGTTGCGGACAAGGCCGCAACAGCAATATTGCGGCCGCAATACGTGTTGCGATCCGCAATTTGAAACCATGCTTGAGGCAATAGGGAGGTGAGTCTTCACCTCATCAATTGGTAAGAAGCCATGCAACCAATTTTAATTACAAAAATGGTTAGAACTTGGGAGTTTGGAAAGAACATACAAATATAAAATAGTACTTGACAAAACTTTTACATATAGTTACCTCCTCGTAATGTCACCCATCGAAGATCATGGGTGTATTTTCGTTTTCTTATTACGACTGAAAAGTGAGGATTTGTAAATTGAATATCTGCCATGATTGTTTTTTGTTCCAGTACATGTACACCCATCCATTCTATACCTTTTGCTCCTTCATAATCCACAAACAAAATCTCAGCACTGTTCCATTCATTTTTAACATGTAATCCTTCATATTCAATATTTCCTATTTCGAGCCGATCATACACGAAAGTATGATTTGTCTCAAACTCAATTGGATAATCTTTAAAAATATAATTTACTGGGATTTGTAGTACGCCATTAATCATCAGGTGCCACACACGGTGATGGTACAAAGGAAAAAATCTGGCAGCACATAGAGTAATTGTCAGGAACTTGTTACGAAACCAGAAACGCAGGGATGGACCCTTGCTAGTGCAATTAAACCAACTCGGTATACTTGATCCTGGAAATATGAAATGTTTGCCCCCGTTCTCGTGTAGTATCTGTCGGTCACATTTAATTATAAAATGTCAGTTAAGCATCCACGTAAAGTATTAGAAAATATTCAAAACATATATATAACATACCCGATTCAGTAACACTTCCTTAGACTCACAAGTTAAAGATGCGCAATTGATAGCTTCAAGATTTTTTATGTTTGGTGGAAGGCCTCTGATTTCTCGTAGCTCCTTGCATTGATTCAAATGAAGTGTTCTCAGGGAGAGACATGCACTAATGGATGATGGAAGGATTGTGATATTGCTGTAACTAAAGGATAAATATCTCACTTTGCACATAAAAATACTACTAGATTTCCAATTGAAAAAGGCAAGCAACTTATGCCACTACCACTCCAATTGAGTTCCCACATGTTTTTCATCTTCCCTAAAATTTCTGGAAGACTCGCAAGACTTGTGCAATTACTAAGGTACATTAATTTAAGAGAAGTTAAGTTCATGTCACGGGGAAGAATCTCAAGACTGGTGCAATTATCCATTGTCAAAAATTCAAGTTTATCAAGAAATCCAACAGAATCATGTACTTGAACTAAATTTCTGCAATGATCAAGATACAATTTCTTCAAATTTGGTGTTCCAGACATGTCAGGTATTTCTTTTAGTAATTTGCAACCGCTTAAATTCAGTTCCATCAAAGACTTAAATTTCTGCGAAAAAAAAAAAATAACATAGTAATTAATTTATGAATTTTCAAATGGACTTATAACTCATTAATATTCAAGATCAAATAAACATCAAGAACCAAAATGGTTAGCTACTAAAAGTACCATGTTTAGTTGATTGTTGAATGTAAAGGAACTCGTAGGCAAGTCCAATATGACAAGTTTCTTTGGATCAAAATCAGCAGGCAGTGATGATTCAGGATATGCACACCATTTTAGCACTCTTAAACTTTTTGGGAGAGCACTTGGTCCCCTAGAAAAGCGAGCATTTTCTACCACCAATATTTTAAGATTTTCCATCTTCTCTAATGCAGATACATTCCATTGCACTTCTTTATCTTTGACCAAGTGTAACATGATGATTTCAGTTTTATCGGACCCCTTTAAGCCAAAATAGTCAAATCATGATAAAGTTCTCAAATTATAAAGACCTATATCTAAGAACTAACTGTAAACATAAAATCTATTTGTAGAGGTTTAACAACCAGGTCTTCCATTATGAATTTGTCAAAAATGAAAAAAGGAAGGACCAAAGACACAAATAAGCAGTTGACAATGCACATACCTTGTTCTCTTTGAAAACACGAAGAATTTCTTTAGAGAGCCATAATCTACTGCGTTCACCTGGTTTTGAGGGTGATTCAAGCCGTACAATTTCTCTACCCATATCTTCAATCAAATCATGCATTTTCACATAACATTGATCAATCTTTATTAGACATTTATCAATCAACACTTGGATAGCATAATCTGGGACATAGCCACGACCACTATATAGCATGTTTATGACATAACTTACTGTGTATCCTTTAAAGAAGCAAGCAATGTCTAAAAATATTTCTTTTTCAAATTCCTTTAAGCCATCATAGCTTACTTTTAGAATTTTCTGAATATCTTCATGAGGAATTCTTTCATAAGTATCTAATGCTGACTTCCATTCCAACTCTGTTTTACCATATAAATCTGAGCCTATTATTTCCAGAGATAACGGTAGGCCATTAGAATGTTGTATTACTCTCTTTGAAATGTACAAATAACCAGGATTGACCTGTTTGCTTCTGAAAGCATTCCAGCTAAACAATTCAAGGGCTTCTTCATGATTTAATCCTTCTACTTCATAGGTTCTTTTAACACCGTGAGAATGTAGTAGATGTCTATTTCTGGTTGTGATAATAATTCTGCTACCAGAACCAAACCAATCAAGTCCACCTGCAAGTACTTCTAATTGCATCAATTTGTCAACATCATCCAAAATCAAAAGAATTTTCTTTTTACAGAGCCTACTTTTAATTATTGGAATTCCTTTTCGAACGTTCCCCAAATTAATGTGTTTCTCTCCAACTAAATCACACAGAAGTGTCTCCTGAAGATGTACCAGATCATGCTCCACTGATTTTTTACTAATGTTGGCGAGAAAACAAAGGTCTTCAAATTGATCAGCAATGAAATTGTAAACTGCACATGCAAGTGTCGTTTTTCCAATTCCACCTATGCCATAAATCCCTACCATGTGGACTGCATTATTTGATTTAACATCTAGAAGTGACTTTACCTTCTGCACGCGAGACTCTATTCCCACTGGGTAATTAGCAATATATAAAGGGCTACGATTGATCCTTTTAGAGACCTCTTGAATGATCTTTTCAATGAATTCATATTCGTACCTGCTTGAGTGCAAAATTTTGAATGATGTCAGTCTAATATCCTACAAAAAAAAAAAAAAAATAGGAAAAGAATGGTTATTTGCGTACCCCTCTTTGAAATGCCAACCGGATAGATTAGCTGCTGCTTCGAAAACTGACCTCCAAGCTTTCAGTTTGTCCTTGTCACTGATTCTTGTTTCATGCTTGGCTAGAGCTTCTGCATAACTTCCTTTCTGATGACGCACATCAGATGGATCCACTTTATAAAAAACAGGCCAAACCAGCTTGCCCTTGTGATTCAAGCACTCCATGATCTGGACAAGTTCTTGTAAACAAAAAGTTGATGATGCATAGTTTTCTGAAAAAATCACGATGGCTATCCTAGATTCTTGAATTGCATTCGACAGAGATGGTGTTATTTCTTCTCCCTTCCTCAGCTCTTGATCATCCATGAAGGTGTGGATTCCCTTTTGACGCAAGGCATTAAAAAGGTTTCCAATAAAACCGGTGCGGGTGTCCTCACCCCGAAAACTGAGGAAAACATCATAAGTCCATTGATAGGCAAAGGAAGAGGATGTTGGATTAGCCATGGTAGCCACAACAGTGATTCTTGAGATGTTTGAGCAAGCAACAATTGAGTTAGAGGAAAAATAAAGTCAGATAATTGCAATGCCTAAAGGCCATTTCCCTCTCATACTATTGAGTTGATCATATATTTTCTCTTTATTATAATACATATTGTCATTTTTTAAGACGAGAGAACTAGGCTCCAGGGAATTCAGTGGGGAATCAGTCAGGAATAAAACTCAATTAGAAAAGTTACCCTTTGCCAAGTTTTCTAAACTATTATATTGTGTTCAATAGGCCGGCTATTTCATGAAAGAAGTCAACACGCAGGGCAAGAGTTTATTTAATAAAAAACAAATTTGAAGTACTGTAATAGACCTGTTGCTTGAGAACAAATAAATGCTAACAAAAATATCATACAAGAACAAATTTGCAGACTTGTCAAACATTTTTTTTTTTTTTTTTTTTATCGAAATGGGGACCCAAGGAAGAGAAGGTGGAGGGAAGTAACTTGGATGACAGACGGAAACACAAAGGGATAGACCAATGCTGAATTAGTTTATTCCACACGCAAGAGTTGTTTTTTCTATTTGGCTATCCCACTAATTCCACAATTCACTGACATGCGAACTCCATCATTTTATTTAATACCTACAAGCCAGTATGCTTTGTGCAACAAGACTCTGACTCAGCTGCTAAATTAGCAACTTATAAAGTGCTATGATTAATCCTTTTACAGACCTCTTCATTGATCTTCTCAATGCATTCATATTTGTACTTGTTCATTAAAAAACTAGATGTTGACGGGGCTCTGCAGAGTATTTATATGATATATTTTGTAATTAGTTATTAGTAAAGATCTCTATATTGATTGTGCATCAAAATTAAATTCATTTTTAATCCTTGCATTATGATATTGAGATAAGTTATTTTATTTAGACAAAATTTAAATTTAGAATGTTTCAAATGCTTACCCAAGTTGATTTCTATGTTTATTTTTCATTTAGCCGCATGTATTTGTCATAGATATAATCTCAAATCATCAAGAAATGAGAAATCCTGTCAATGAGAAATTTTCCTGGTGGATTTCTGTTGACCTTTAATTCAGCAAATAAAGTTCTAAATTAAATTAAACATTACTAAACTTTGACTAACCACTAAATGAACATTGATATTATATTTAAAGATCCCTAATATATCATTATCTATGTGTTCAATAGTCATAGAGTTGTCATCCCCTTTCTACTATTTTTTGAAGCAAAAAAAAAATCAATAGAAATTATATCAAGTTTTACAATATTATATAAATTAACAAAAATTCCACGAATTCATAAACAACTTAACAACTATGCATGGTCAATTTAACCTGATGAAAATATTGTTTTGTGAGTATAGTTTTATTTTAATCAACACCTTACACCGCTATATCATTTTCTTTTTGCAGACACACTCCAACTTATTATAAACTGTTTAGACACCACTTGTTAGCAGCTTCAATAGTCAAACAGCACAGCAAAACTGTTGGGTACAGCTGCACCGAAAGAAAAAAAACTTTC